AGTAGGAGTACACTCACAGCTGTGGGGGTTTCAATGGAATTGATTTTGAAATTAAGGGGGGAAACGGTAGAAACAAAGTAGATTTAAGGTAGAACAATAAAGCAGGGATGCTACAAAAATGGTACATTGCCAGATGCTGTAACAAGCTACTGGACCCACAACTACTCCACCTACCTCCAGWATGACAAGAAGCACTAAGTGCTTTTGTACTGTATGTACTGTATGTACATTCCCTATGGTACATACTGATATATACAGCAGCAAGGAACACACACCATCACCAGAATAGCTCTTTCCCACAATTTAAGCTAGAAATAAGGTAGCTTCAAAGTAGCTTCAAAGTTGTAGYTTTTGGGTAACTTTAAATCTACCTTTAAGCTGTTCATTGTGTAGAAATTGGCGGGTATAGTATAAATTATGCAAAGCATGTTTACCAGAAATAGACTTCAAGCTACTTTCAAGTAATTTGTTAAGTAGCTTTAAAGTTGCTTCCCAGTAGGCAAAAGATTGACTAGTAGGGAGGAAAAAGCGCTCTAATTCACAATATACTAAACAGTACAATATGAGTAGTAGTGGACATGTGTGGAGGGGATGAGAATAAATAATATTCTTGACTTAGTTAGAGTAGTTGTGGGTCCAGTACCGCAAGGTAACTGGAGATGCGTCCTTTTGCAACATCCCACCAGCTTTAAAGTACTACTAGCATTTAAGTAGCTGTTTGTTACATGAGTCTGGTATTATTTGTACATATGGGGGCTACTTTAAAGAAGCTGCATTAAACAAGTAGCTTTARGGTAGAAAAAAGAAGCTTGAAAGTTGATTTCCAATAGGCAATAGATTCACATGTGCCATCTACCAGATGGCGTGGGTGTCAGGYGGAAACTAGTACTATTGTTTGTTCTCAACTTAGTAGGAGTTGTTGTAGGTKCAGAAGCTTAGAGTATCTGGTAAGGCACCATTTTGTAACTGTTGAGCAACTCAAAATTACCATTTGCTTGCATGGGCTGGTTACTGCACAGGTACAAGTTTTGTTGAACAGCTTGCACTAACAAACACTAGTTATTTTTTGCTTCAGTACATGCAGCTCAAGCTGGTTACAAACACGTGGACTGAAATTTGCAACCAGAGCGTGTAACCAAGCCCTTCCCTAACAASAGTCAATTTGTTCTACATGATACTACTACTAGTAGTATGGTTACAAAAAAGTTGGGCCTAGTTACAAAAAAGTGCACAGTGCGCTGGTGGTAACCAGGTACACAAACCTCAACAGGTAAAAACTGTTTGCTGTTCTTTGATCTACTATGGTACAGTGTAGAAAATACAAAAGAAATGCCAAATTGTTGTCATTTGTTGGCAGCAGCAACTGCCACACAGCATTTAAAATGCAAATTTGTATTTAAGTACAAATTTAGTCCCTTTTGTGTTCAATGCATTCAATAGACTGCACAATCTACAGTGCAAATTTAATTGTGGTGTAAAATAGCAACTAAACATCAGATTTAAAAAAATCTTAATATTATATTTTACCTCGTGAACTAGAAGAGGCACTAAGATGGCCAGAACCATAGCTTTTGTTGGAAAGTATGCTTCTAGCTGCTCCAAGGGGCGGCACTTCCCTCTGAGGAGTTTTGATGGAAGGGCGACCRGGGGAAACTAAACATCAGATYAAGACCTAATTTTTGGTAGAATTTATCTTAACATCCTCATGAACATATTGGGTTCAGTGGGTAGATGGGTCATACAATTTTTATGCTGAGACTACTGGTATAAGTAGGAGGTCATACTAGTAGTCCACTAGTAGTAGTATGACCAGTAGTCGTAGTAGTACTAGTACTACTAATAGTACTACTAATAGTACTAATAGTAGTGTTAGTAGCAGCAGGAGTACTATTACTACTACAGCTAGTTTCTACTAGTGGCATTAATGACAATTCTGGTTAACTGATATATAAATATGTATCAGTAGTACTAGTACTAGTAGTAATACTAGTAATAGTAAAATTTGTATTGTTTTGTGCTAGTAGTAGTAGTAGCAGTAATTATCCATAATATTTCAACTCCCATACAGCAGTTGGATTTTGAGTGATATTGTCTGATGGTTTGAGAGCAACAGCATACTGCTTCAAAGAGATAACATAGATGTMTGTACATCCATCCTTTTCAAGTTGAAACTGATCCAAGTTGCRACTCTTGAAGGGTGTATTGCCAAGCCAATATGTCTACTGACTAGCCAGTGATGGCAGGAGGGGAGCATCTTCATCATGGACATGATGATCTTCATCACAGAAGTGGTGTA